ACCAGGGTCAGCATTGGCTCATTGGTTGCGCGTAGCAAAATTAGGCGCGTCTGCAGCATCAGGAAATGCGACCTCTCCGTTGTGGACACGCGCGCGCGATCGGGTGGCCCACGCGAGGGCGCGTTTCCCGAAATCCAGTTGGTCGCCGTTCAGGGTTCACTGTAGTTCCCATGCCAGCATGGCGACTTTCCTGTCGTGGACAATCCAGGACTCACCACAAACGCGTCCGCGCGCGCGCGATCGGGCGACGCGCGCGCGCGGGCGTGCAAGCCGAAATCCGGACGGTCACCGTCGATTTTGTTTACTTGAAGGCCAACAGACTTTTCCATTGCGGGCTGTCCAGAATCCCCCACACGCGAGCGCCGAGAGTCCATCATCCCTTCAGAAAACACACAGCAGACCCCACCTTCAGTCGAACATCGAATCGGCCATCAAGGTTCACTTCAATCCCCCATGTCAAGATGGCTACATCTGTTGTAGACGATAAAAAAACTCCCCACGTGCGTCCGCGCGCGCCCGCGAGCGGGCAAGCCGCGCGCGGGCGGGCCACCTGAAAGACGGGTGGTCGCCGGAAGGGTTCATCTTGGTTCCCAAGCCAACATGGCGACTTTTCCATTGTGGACACGACAGAACTCTCCACCCGAGCGCCCGTGCTCGCGAGCGCGATCGGGCGACCCGCGCTCGCAGACTAGTCACCCGAAATCCGCTGGGTCATCGTTAACGCAGCATTCATGGCACCTCCCCTTCTGTCACAGCCTGTCAACGGCTGTCAATAGCTACAATGGACATCATGCTTGTCACGAGCCGTCGAGCTTGCCGCGGGCTGTAATGGACCCGTCGAGGCTTGCCAGGGGCAGTCATACGTTTGACAGCGCGTCAAGGCCTTCACAGGACGAGTGCAACATTATCTGTAGCTGCCATGCCCCCACAAGTCGCCACACTCGTCGACGGCCGACATGGTCGATGTCAGTTGCGGTCAATGAACCAAAACCCTGGCAATGAAACATGAACCAACAAAAGCATTGCAATGCGAACATGAATGGAAACGCGTTTATATATGTATGTATATAAATACATACACACATATAAACATAGTATGCGAATATATATATATATATGCCTCGAGGAGACAAGGGAAGGCCGAAGCTACGGCGAAGACCCAGGGCCCGCGGCGACCCTCTCGATCTTGCCCTCGAGGTCCGAGCCAAATACACCATCGGGCCAAGACGGCCGAAGAGCCGGGTCCTCCAGCGACTGGGCCTTGACCTCCTCGAGCTCGAACGCGCCCGCGACCCGCCCAGCGCTGACCCCCCAACTGGGCGAACAGCAAGCAACATGCTGGATGGCGCTCCGGCCCCGCACGCGGCATCTGGCCGCGTCTGGGACAGGGTCGATGGATGCCTTCCCCGTCTTGCCAGCGTCGCCCAATGGGCCGCGGGGCACGGCGCCCCTTCCGGGAAGGCGCAGCCGCCGCCCCCGTCCGAAGACGGATGATCCGGTGATCTGGCGGCCGTTGCATCGGGCCCGGAGACGCCCGCCGCCGTCGTCCTTCGGCGGCAACTCGCCGGGGCCCGCCTCGTCGGCCCTCGCGCATCGGCGCCAATCGACGCTAGGTCGACGCCAACCGACGCTAAACCGACGCTACATCGAGGCTGAGCGACGCGAAACCACGACTGCCTCATCGACTCCCAGACGCCAATCGACGCTAGTCGACGCTGCCACGACATGCCACCGAACCCTTCTCTTCCTCAGCGGACGGCTTGCAAGAGCCATCCTCCGAGTCGTCGTCGGAGGAGTCGCGGGCATCGCCGTCGGGAGCGTCGCGGGCCGCCCGGCGGGCCCGCCCCAGGTCGCCGTCGTTCGCGGGAGCCGCGGGCGGCCGCGGCCCGGCCCTCCTGCCACGCGCCGCCCCCGCCGCCTATATGGCCCCCCAGGGGCCGGGCGGAGCATTGGCCTGGGAAAGAGGCGACGGGGAACCGCTTGAGCGCGCTGTTTTTCCTGCCCTCCCGCGGCGCTCTGCCCCTTCCATGGCCTCCTCATTCTCGCTTTCCTGGATCAGCTCCGCCTCTCCTCCTGCGGGCCCGCATTCCAGCTGCGGCCTCAGCGCCACGTCGCCCCTCAGCCCGTAGCCGAACCTTCCCGGCCCTTCCTTCTTCCCGGGCCTTCGCCTCGGCGCGGCCTCCCGCGCCTTGCATCGCGCCCGCGGGCAGCTCGGCGAGCCGTCGGCGCTCGGCCCTTGCGGCGACCTCGGAGCCCCCCAGCTGTTCCGCGGCCCCCCCTCGGCCTTATGCCCCACCGCCCGCTGCGAAGCGCTCGCGACGCCATGGCGAGACACCTCTGGCGCTGGCGGGCAGTCGAACGGACGCGCACCCGGCACAGTTTGCGAGCCGATGAATTCCTCGAGCCTCCGTCAAACATCTCTCCTCCGCGTCTTCTTCTCGCGTCGCGCGTTAGCCTCTCGCTCAATGTTTGGCTACCTCCCCACATCGCCAGACGCGCCTCCATTCGATCGCGTCGAAATGCTTGGCGCAGTAGGGCTCGTTCCAGCGGGCGCAGTGGCGCTCGGCGGATTGGCGACACGCGCGGCGCCGCATTCCGCAGCGGGAAGCGGGCAGCGTCGCGCTGAGCCCCGCCGTCCGCCGCGGAGCCGCCGGCGCGCCCGCGACATTTGTCATTCCGGGACTCGCCCGGGATAGGTGCCGACGCAGCAATCGTCGCACGCGACGTCCAGCATGTCACGGCAAAGCCGCTCGCGCCGGGCTTCCCAAACCGCCGTGGTTCTATCGGCTCTCAGCTCGGAATTCTGGGCGGCGGCAATCGCCCCCTGGTTTGCTCGTTGATCACCTCGTTCGGACGCTTCCTCGGCAGCTCGAACCTCGGCAGCTGCTCGAACGCAGTTCGCGCCAGCCGCGTCGGCGAAGGCCTATGCCCCCTGGCGCGCGGCGGCAATCTCGCCCTCGGCATGCCTCGTCACCGCCATGTTCTCTACCGAAGCACTCTGCGCGGCGACCTCGGCAGATGCCCGGCCTGCCCGGGCTCTTCGAATCGCCTCGTGGGCCTCCGCGGTCACTCGCGCATCGTCTGCCTCCGCCGCCCCGTTTTCCTCGGCGACCTTTCCTCCCGGGCCTCGCTGGCCCCCTTGACAGCGCGCCTAGCCTCCTCCGCGCTGCCTGTGAAGACCTCGGGGGCGCTTCTCGGCGGCGGCCGAAGCCGCCCATGCGTCCGCCAGCCCTCGGAGTTCAGCTAATGCACGTTGAGTCCGCGCGGAGGCAGCAGCCCGTCGCCTCTGCTCGATGCCCTCGAAATCGCGCCATCGCGGCACGGTTCGCCTAGGCCTGGAGACGAGCGGCCGTCCGTGACTCCGCGCGCATGAGCTGTTCCTTCATTCGTGCCCGTTCCAGATGCCATCTTGCGTTCGTTGCTTCGCGCTTCTCCTCATCTGCCCACTCTCACTCCTGTCCTCCGAGGGCCGCGCAACCATGGGCCCGGAGAGCAGCCCGAGCAGAAAAATATAAAACTGCAGCGGGAACAGCAGAATGAGCACCTCCAGCGCACCTGTTTCTTGCACTGACCTCGATTCCCTGGGCAGCAGTCCTCACGGAGGGGGGCACAATTGGGACCCAAGTTTGCGCGAGGTTCCCCACTGCGGAAACTCGATACACTGGAGCTTTCCGCCCGCGCTGACGACGTCGAGGTGCCCGTGGGGTTCTGACAGCCCTTCCGCGCGCCCGCGCAACGAATCGTTGTCGCGACCAAATACGCGGGACGGGCTTCCTCATGGGACTCCAGATCAGATTCCCAGCGCGCGACGCTCTCATTGGCAGCCCCGGCAGGGATGGCGATTCGGGAACATAGTTCCCGAGATCACCTCCCGAATCGGGCGGCGGAATCTCTTCAGGAATGCCGTCCGTCTTGGAGCTCTTCCCGGATGGAGAGGTGACCGACAAGTCGATCGCCTCCCGAGGCTGCTTGGTGGTTGGCACCTCGAGCTCGATGATTGCGATTGGCGTCGGCGACGTCGCCTTGGGGGCAAGCGCGGGCTCCTCCCCATCGTAATCGGCGATTTGTCGGCCACTGAGGGCATTGTCGCCGGTATCGTGGCCGTTTGCTCACGCACTCGCGGCCGAGAAGCATGAACAACATAGTCATCGAAAACCGCTCTTTGGTCATATCCTGCATCCGCGCCGGGAGACCCCAGCAACGGTCCAGAATCATTGGCCCCAGAACTGTCGCATAGGTATGCTCGATCACGGTGTCTTGAGCCAAACGAGGCGTCGGCTTGACCGACATTTGGGCCTCCGATGATACGGACATCGCGTCGATGATGGCACTGGTGCCCTCGGCGAGGCACTGCTTCCATACCATTCTTCGCCGGCCTGCATCATAGAATCTGCCGCACGCGGGGTATGTATCCCTGCGGCCGCCAACTCCGCCCGATACTGATCGGTCCGTTTGTACTGAATCCAATTAGGAAGTTTGCGGAAGGCCCGAGACGGCAACCGCCAATACAGTCAGCGGCAACCGTGTCGAAGATTCGTTGATCGATTCTTTTTCACGGCATGACGATTATCATGAAAACCAGTCTGTGATTGTCGTTTCTCGTGAGATCGGGTCCGTGAAAGGGTTCCTCGTCATTTGGAACCACCATCCCCGAGACTCGTGACATAGTCCCGAAAGTTCATGGTGAACGCCTCGGCTGATACAAGCAATTTGCCTAGGTATGTCCTCGAGGGGGGCATTCTGGTTGACAGGCAGGTGTTCTGGATGGTCTATTGTATGGTCCTCTCACAATCAAGAATCGCCCCCCTCTCAAATCTCGGGATTTCGGGGACGTAGTCCTTCCCACCATGGCTTGTATGCATGTAGATGTATGTATGTATGTATGCATGTATGTATGTATGTATGTATGTAGGTAGGTAGGCAGGTAGGTAGGTAGATATTTATGTATGTATGTATGTATGATTTATTTATTTGTATAGATACAAACACGTTAAACTTGGTGCGAACACTTATGTATGTATGAGCCGGCCGACGAGAGGAGGCCGGCCGCGCGCGAGCTTTTACCAGTACGTAGTTGGCTGCGTAGAAGAACAAACCAAGAGTCGCCAGCCATGCAAACGGCATGGCCAACGAAAACAATAAAACGGGGCGAGGGGTTGGTAATGACTGTTAACGATGAAGACGACGAGAAGGACGAAGAGGACGAGGACGAAGCAGACGAAAACGAGAAGACGACGAACGACTACGCCGACATCATCGTGACGTCGGCCGTCGCTCGTCCAGCCCGGCCGGGGAGGTGTCGCTTGCAGCCGCCAGGGTTGGCACGCCTCCTCGGGCGGCCAAGACGAGGCGTGCCCCCGCACTGCAGCCAAGGCCGCGCCCGTCCGCCCGTTCTTTCCCTGGTCTCTCCACCTCCCTCCGCCAACTCTTGCTCGTGTCCCTGCTGCTTTTGATCCTGCTCATTTGCGCCCCCTCCGCCTCTTCCTCCTGTTTCCCCTGCACCGCACTCTCTGCCTCCTCCTCCTCCTCCTCCTCCTCCTCCTCCTCCTCCTCCTCCTCCTCCCGATCCTCCTGGTCCTTCTCCTCCTCCTCCTCCTTCTCCTTCTCCTCCTTGCCGTCCTTCTCCTCCTCCTCCTCCTCCTCGTCCTCCTCCTACTCCTCCTCCTCCTCCTCCTCCTGCTCCTCCTCCTCTTCCTACCTCTTTTTCTTCTTCGTCTTCCTCCTCCTCTCCCTCCTCCTCCTCCTGCTCTCCCTGCTCCTTCCTCCTCCTCCTCCTCCTCCTCCTCCTCCTCCTCCACTCCTGACCCTCCTCACCCTCCTCACCCTCCTTCTCCTCCTCCTCCTCCTGCTTCTCCTGCTCCTCCTTCTCCTCGTCCTCCGCATCCTCCTCCTCCTCATGTTCCTCATCCTCTTCTTCTTCGCTGTCTTCGTGTTTGTATTATTAGTTGTGTTCGTTTTATCCTGAGCTTTTGAATTTGCATTGTTAGTGGTATTAGTATTTGTAGTCATGTTCCTCGTGGTAATTCGTCTGCGTAGCATTGTTCTTGTTAGTATAAACCTGCCTGTTCGTCATACCATTAACAGTATTACTATGATACCTCCTCCTCCACCTCTTCATCCTCCTCCTCACCATCATCACCATCATCATCAGCATCACCATCATCATCAGCATCATCCTCCTCCTCCTCCTCATCATCATCATCATCATTATCATCATCATGTTCATCATCATCATCATCAGCATCAGCATCAGCATCATCTTCAGCAGCATCATCATCGTCATCAGCACCATCATCATCATCATCATCATCATCATCATCATCATCATCATCATTCCCCTCGTCCCCCTCCTCCCCCTCCTCCCCCCTCCCCCTCTTCCTCCTTCTCCTCCTCCTCCTCCTTCTCATCCTCCTCCTCCTCCTCCTCCTCTTCCTCCTCCCCCTCCTCTTCCTCCATTCCTTTTCTTCATACATAAGTTCTCCCTGTCGCACCCCGAGGCCAGTGTTTTAGGGCGGGCCGCGCGTTTCGCCTAATACTTCCTCACCACGTATGACTCTGAAGCTTAAGAGGGTGCCAACAGCTTCACGAATGGAGGGCTGCTGGGTTTCAAAATGTGAGTTCCGCCCCCGCGCCGCGCACATTGATTCTAACAAAGTGTGCAAGAGATTCACAAGTTGAGGGCGGGTCGTTTTCAACATGTGGCTCTCGCCTTAGCGCCGCGCACCTTCGTTTCACAAACCTGCAAGAGTTTGACGGAATGAAGGCGAGTCGTTCCCAAAATGCGGCGGTCGCCTTAGCGCCCCTTAAATTCGTTTTGAAAGCTTGCAAGGGCGTCATGGATTCAGGGCGGGTCGTTTTCAAACTGTGGCTCTCGCCTGAGCACCGCGCACACTCGTTGCAAAAACTTGCAAGAGCTTCACGGCTTGAGGGCGGTTCGTTTCCGAAGTGTGGCCCTCGCTTTGGCGCACCGCACATTCGTTTTAAACAACTTGCAAGGGTTTCACAGATTGTGGGCGGGTCGCTGTCAAAATGTGGCTCTCGCCTTGGCGCCGCGCACACTCGTTGCACAAACTTGCAAGAGCTAAACGGATTGAGGGCGGGTCGTTTCCGAAGTGTGGCTCTCGCCTTAGCGCCCCGCACATTCGTTAAAACATGCAAGAACTTCACGGATTCAGGGCGGGTCGTTCTCAACATGTGGCTCTCGCCTTAGCCCCGTGCACATTCAATCTAAAGAACTGCAAGAGCGTCATGGCTTGAGGGCGGGTCGTTTTCAAAATGTGGCTCTCGCCTTAGCGCCGCGAACACTCGTTCCAAAAGCTGCACGGGTTGAGGACGGATCGTTTTCAAAATGCCAGACTCGCCTTCGCGCCCCGCACATTCGTTTTAAAACTTGCAAGAGGTTCATGGAGTGAGGGCGGGTCGTGTTCAAAATGTGGCTATCGCCTTAGCGCCGCGCAAATTCGTTTTAAACATGTGCCAGGGTTTCACGGATTCACATGACAAGCGTACCAGAAATGGCGTGTTGGAAAGATTCATGACCATGCGACTGCAACAATTATGGTGGTTCGCTGTGTTCAACGTCCAACAATGGAATTCTGGCACGATTGATCCGTGGCGTTGGAAATTCGAGAACACCTTCAGGGTATTCAAACGTTTGTCTTCCAACGAGGCAGTTCCCTCAATGGACATGAACCGATGTAAGGGGCCCATGAAAAGGGAGCTTAGAAGGAGGGTTGATTCCAACATCGTTGATGACTCTTGGGTTTACACTGGTCCTCCTCCTCCCACTCCTCCCCCTCCTCCCCCTCCTCCCCCTCCTCCCCCTCCTCCCCATCCTCCCCCTCCTCCCCCTCCTCTCCTCCTCCACCTCCTCCTCTCCTCCTCCTCCTCACGCCCCTCCTCCTCTTCTCCTATTCTCCTCCTCCTCCGCCTCCTCCTCCTCCTTCTCCTCCTCCTCCTCCTCACCCTCACTCCTCCCTCCTCCCTCTCATCCCCCTCCTCCCCCCCCTCACCCCCCCCGTCTTCCTCGTTCTCACTCCTCCGCATCCTCCTCCTCCTCATTTCCTTCTCCTGCTCCTGCTCTTCCTCATTATCCTCCCCTCCTAATCATCCTCCTCCCCACCAACCCCCCCCCCCTCCTCCTCCTCTCCTCCTCCTCCTCCTCCTCCCTCCTCGTCATCATCATCACATCATCATCATCATCATCATCATCATCATCATCATCATCATCATCATCATCATCATCATGCATCATCATCATCATCATCATCATCAATCATCTCAGCATCATCAGCTCATCATTCGCATCATCATCATCATCATCATCATCATCATCATCAGCTATCATCATCACATCAATCATCATCATCATCCTGGGGCTCCTAGCGCAGCATCATCATCATCATCATCATCATCATCATCATCATCATCATCATCATCATCATCAGCATCAGCATCAGCTCACATCATTAGCATCATCATCATCATCATCATCATTATCATCATCCTCCATACTCATCCTCATCCTCCTCCTCATCCCCCATCCTCATCCTTCCCATCCTCATCCTCATCCTCGCGCTATCAGACATCAGCAGTATCATCATCATCATCATCATCATCATCAGCATCATCATCATCCTCCTCATCATCATCATCAACATCATCATCATCATCATCACCATCACCATCACCATCACCATCATCATCATCATCATCATCATCATCAGCATCAGCAGCATCATCATCATCATCATCATCAGCAACATCATCATCATCATCATCATCATCATCATCATCATCATCCGCTTCCTCCTCCTGCCTCGTCCTCCTCGTATTCCTCCTATTCCTCCTACTCCGCCTCCTCATCCGCATCCTCCTCTTCCGCCTCCTCCTCCTCATCCTCCTCCTCCCATCCCCCCATCCGCCGCCTCTTCATCCTCCTTATCATCCGCCTCATCCTCCTCATCATCATCATCATCATCAGCATCAGCAGCAGCAGCAGCAGCAGCAGTAACATCATCCGCCTCCTCCTCCTCCTCATCCTCCTCCTCCTCATCATCATCATCCTCATCTTCCTCCTCCTGGTCTTCCGCCTCCTCCTCCTCCTGCTCCTGATTCATCCCTCCCCCCTCCTCTCGCATCTCTCCTCCCTCATCCATCCTCCCTCCTCCCACCTTCCTCCCTCCTCCCTCCTCCCTCCTCCTGCCTCCCTCATCCCCCCCCTCCTCCTTCCTCCCTCCTCTCTCCTCCCTCCTCCCTCCGCTCGCATCCCTCCTCCCTCCTCTCGCATCCCTCCTCCCGTCTCACATCCTCCATTCCGCCCTCCTCTGTGCTCACGCCTCCCTCTTCCCCCCTCCCATCATCCCATCCTCCCATCCTCCCAGCCTCCGATCATATCATCCTCTCGTCCTTCCTCCTCGCTCCTCCCTCCTCCCTCCTCCCACCGTCATCCTTCCCCGTCCCTCCTCCTTCCTCCCGCCTCCCTCCTCCCTCCTCCCTCCCTCCTCCTCCCTCCTCCCTCCTCCTCCTCCCCTGCGCCTCCTCCTCCGCCTCCCCTTCCTCATCCTCTCCTCCTCCTCCTCCGTCCTCCTCCTCTCCCCTCCTCATCATCATCCCAATCCCCAGCAAAAACAGCATCATCATCACATCAGCATCAGCATCCGCCTCCTCCTCCTCCTCCTCCTCCTCGTCCTCCCCCTCCCCCTCCTCCTCCTCCTCCGTCCTCCTCCTCCTCCTCCTCCTCCTCCTCTCCTCCTCCTCCTCCTCCTCCTCCTCCTCCTCCTTCTCCCCCCTCCTCCTCTCCTCCTCCTCCTCCTCCTCCTCCTCCTCATCCTCCCCCTCCTCCTCTCTACCCCACTCCTACTCCTCCTCCTCCTCCCCTCCTCCTCCTCCTCCTCCCCCCCTCCTCCTTCTTCTCCTCCTCCTCCTCCTCCTCCTCACTACTCATTCATCATCATCCTTACATCCTCCTCATCCTTACATCCTCATCCTCCTCATCAATCCCGCCTCCTCCTCGCTCCGCCGCCACATCCTCCTCCTCCTCCTCCTCATCCTCCTCCTCATCCTCATCCTCATCCTCCTCATCATCCTCATCAGCCTCATCCTCCCCTCTTCCTCCTCATCCTCCTCCTCCTCCCTCATCCCCCCTCCCCTCCTCCGCCTCATCCTCCTCCTCATCATCATCATCCTTCTCCGTTCATCCTCCGCCTCCTCATCATCCTCTTCCTCCCTCCTCCTCCCTCCTCCCTCCTCCTCCTCCTCAGCGTCATCATCTCTCTCCGCAAGCTTCTCCTCCTCCTCCTCCTCCTCCTCCTCCTCCGCCTCCTCCGCC